AGAAATATTACTAAACCAGGGGTTTTGATGATAACTATTATTTGCACGCATTATTGCACCATTTTCCAATGTTACTGATCCATATATTATTATCTTAATTTGAGCGATATCTATTTCAGATATTTTAATTAGATCTAAATATGAATCCATACATGCTAAAAACTGGTCAAACCCAGTCTTCATTTTATCATCTATATTAGGTTCTATTTTTTTTTCTTCAAAAAATGAAAGTGCATTCATTAATGAAAATTCATAAAGCTTTGATGAAAATTTAAATGCACGAGGAGTTATTTCCAAATTTGTTGATTGGTTTTGAGACGTTATTTTTGCAATTGATTGACATCGAATCTAAAACAAATATAATCAATAGGAAAAACTTCGTAAGATTGTGCATTTACAAATATTAAACACTTACTATTTGCATTAATTGGGCTTCAATATTTTTTTTATTACTTAACCGATAGGGAACCTTAACATATTCACGATGAAGGCTTTCGTAAGTCTCTGTAGTATATCCATTAATTGCACCAAAGTTCTGAATTGAATCGATCACATGATAAATCCATGAGTGTAGTTTCGGAAGTTTTAACCCAGATGGAGAAAATTGTTGAAAAATTCGAATAAAATTCTGAGACCATTTATATATTGACTCCTAAATTTTATAATATTAATTTTAATTACAATATAAAACAATAAAGGATTTTCTAAGGTTATACTTACTTCAAATTTATTTAAATCGCTTTGCTTAAAAGTTTCGTATCTACTAATTTTATACATATCATTCCACTGTTCGTAAACTTTTGCCAAATCTTTATTTGTAATAAAATTTTCCACATTTTTGGTATTTTCTTTATATAAATTATCAATTACAAAAATCATTACTTTCATTAAATTACGATATTCGTTTGCCGTTAACCTTGCGATTGACTGTAATCCAGTTTTGAAAATTTTTAAATTTGTAAATTTTGGTATTTTCGTTAATCTACGATCTATTTCATCTACTAAATGATTGCCATGTTGCTGTTTTAAAAGTTCTCGTGTATAAATAATTTGATAATTAAATAAACCTAGATCAAGATGATGCATTCTGTCAGGTACTGTGGCAGAATAGATATTTATGTTTCTGCAATGATCATTATTATTAGTATTTAATAAAATTAAAAAAAATAAAATTAACGTTATATAAACTTACGGAAGGTCCCAAAAAAAATTGGAAATATTTTCAAGCGATACAGAATGATTTGTATTCTGTTCAAAATATTCGATCATATTTTCATGAGT